TGCTGAATAATGCCCTAGTAGCGAAAAAAGCAAAGAAATCCGTCAAGAACGCGCAAAATGGGACCCCTTTCCTTCTGCCCGTTGACCTCCGATAATGGACGAGCTAGCAACCAATTAAGAGGTCGTTTGCACATGTTAACCTGATAGCCTCTATCATTCCAGCAAAGATCATGCTTTGATTGATCACGCATTCCATGGGAAAGTTATAGGATACACACTCGAAGTGGAATATCTCATCCAAATGATAAGAACAATGATGCTGCTAGCAACACTAATGGGCGGAGCACAGCGGCGGAGGCGGAGCTCAGGGAGGATTGGCAGCCCCAGGGCGCTGAACTAGCGCGCCTTTGGCCACGAAAAGGCCACATCTCGATTCCTTAGGCCCCTGACTACTTCCACTGGTGCATGTACTTCCATGCTTGCACACGCACTTTATCGTAATCTCTCGCTTTAAGAACAGCTCATACAACTTTAAAAGATAATTACCACGAAATCAATTTGAAATCTAAATGGTGCAGAACGCTGAAAAATGAGGTTTGAACTTCCAAAACGCACTTCCTTTGACAATCTTCACCATTGGAGCTGCTATTACAAAAGTCAATTGATTGAGCCTTCCAACTCAATTTTCTCACTCGACTACAAGTTTATGAAGTATCTCGCGTGTTTTGGCTGTTTGGTGAGGGTGTCAGGTAAATAATGACTTTATGACGGAGCTAATCCCACGACTCGCTAGCGACTCGCGAGAGGGGGAGGGGGGGGGGGTTACGAGCGACGTGTAGCTTTTTCCAGCGAGTGCCAGCGATTGCTCGAATTGTTCGCTGCCAACGGCACCACGTCACATTGCTCAGAAAAGTCACCTTTGATCCGCCGGAAACGCGACGCAACGCTTCACACGAGTCTGTACTATCAGAAGGATTTCAGCTTTATTTGAACGCTCACAAGACATCAATCACTGGGGAGCTATTACTGAAATTGTGATGGACGTACATAGCTTTCTATCATGATCACATGTTGAAATCACGATTAATGACACTGAACCTCTACTGGTTACAAACATCGAATTCTAGCAACTAATTTCATAACAAGATTTTTGGGAGCAGTTCTCCCGAGGATAACCCACAACATTTCAGCCACACTCGAGTCCATTAGGTGCGCTGGATGATCTCGAACAACGGGTTTCGGCCAAGCGACGAGTTGTCTCTTTCTTGTGGCTTTGGGTGAATACTCTGGGAATTCACTATTTTCTCGATCCTGCAGCGAATGCCTTTGTCGAGGTAAGGTTTTTGCACAGTACCCATGCATGGTTCTTGAATAATGGTGATTGCAGGAGTTGTACTGCCATGTACTGGAGGACAATCGAAGTCTGCCAGGACTTGGTCCCATTCTCACTCGAATGACAGCACTACGGGATCTGCGGGAGGAAGCACGTCGTACGCTTGCTCGACATCCAGCGGTCGTTCTCGAATGCGGAGTTCTCTCCACAATGGCACCAGCGCCAAGCCCTGTTCTACCCAGTGACATATGTAAGGTGCAGCTGTTGTCGCTTCTGAGAACGCTTTCATAGTGAGCGATTCCAGGCAATCAAATTATTCATTTGTCGGACACGACATCGTTTGCACTTCCAATACGGATGGATAAGACGGCGACGGAAATCTGTGAACTCGCACGAAATCGTCTGCGCAGCTCGCATCACGACGAGCTGGCTTTGGTCGAAGTGAAAAGCAGTGGAGGCGAGTTTTTCACATATCTAGACTAGCGGTGGGGAGTAGGGACAATTCTAAGAGGTCATAAAGCATTAAGGAAAGTCATAAAACGTAATAAAGCTTTGCCGTTGATCAATCCCTTTTTGGGATGCGGCACGCATTTATTCGTAGTGGCGTTTGAATGCGATGTGGCCTATACAATGACTTGCGGGGGCCAGCCGATGTACAAGTCAGTGTTTTTATCCTCCCAGACAAGTCTGGTACCAATTAACCGACCCCGGAGGGATGGAAGGCTTGGTTGGCCCGGGCGACTCACGACCCAGGATTTGATCCCCGGACCGCTCGCGTGGTAAGCGTGCCACTTGCCACTACACCACTTCCGCCCTATCATCATACTGGAAAATTCCTAAAACGAGGATCGCCCGACCCCACTGAGTCTCTGTTTGGTATGCCGTGGGCTGATTGAGGACATCCCTCATCTAGATCTGAGTATTTGTCAAATACACGGCACATCCCGGAGCGATTTTACAACACCGGTCAGTTCAGCCGTCCATTCTCCAAGGCTGTTTCTTTGCTGAACATACATAGCTCTCAGCTATCCTGCAATTCCACTGAATTTTCGAATTTCAAAGGTTCTTTTTAGAAAAAGTTGTCTTCTATGACGGTGATGTGAGCATTCCGACGATGTTGTCCTTGAACAGCAAGCTGTACGTCGTGAGTAAGGACGAGGTCGACTCTTTGGTGAGTGCCTCGCCCAGCCCTTTCGTATTTTGCATCTTAATGCTTCCTTTTGTATGCTAAATTCTATTTCTTTTACTTCCATCTTTTGGTCCGTTCACAAATTTTATCATGAGCCCGTTTAGGTTCCTCAACTTGACCAAAACGGTCCGCTGGAGTCCGTTCACGCTTCTGTAATGGAGTACGTCAGTAGCCATGAACTGGCACAACAACTTCTCGTGCTGCACACCCAGTTATTTGAGGTAATTTCTTCCTCATTACTTTTTATAGACCCACCTATTTGTGTATGTGTCACATTAGCGGCTGGCTACTTCACCAACCTCGTCGTGATCCTTCTCATTGTGAATAGCCCTTAGCGTCCTCGCAGGGCTGGTTTTCAGCGGCCTGCGATAATAGCGAATTCTTATGCTGAAATATCTGCTGCAGAGATCTCAAAGCTTGGCCACTCCGGGCTCCAGGCCTGCGCGAATATCCGACAGGAGGCCCGTCGCGCTGCAAGTAGGCAAGTCAGCGACGAGTTCGCCCAGCGCGTGAGGGCGGGCGATGTGAGACGCGCAGCTGGCTAACATTGGCTTCAAAGGCAAAGGTCGGGCTCAGGCACGCTAGAGAAGTAATTTCCCGTGCCTGGAGGTTGTATGTGGGTAGCTGCACACATTGCAGCAACTTCCCACCTTGAAAAACCCGTTAAGGCCCCGGGGCGTTCGGTTTCAATCCAGGGCCGCCTGGTCAATCCCAGGACCGCCCACCTCCGGAAGTGGTGCGTGGCTGGCATAACGTGTGAAATCAGCTAGGTTGATTGCCGTATCAACCGATAGAACGACTGACATCTCCAGAAAACTTGTTTGTACGTGCCTCTTTCCCCAAGCCAGCCTCCTTCACTGCTAGTGGGAAAGAGGGTTTTGTTAAACGGCCTTGGACGACGGTTTTTCTCAGTTTTTTCTCCACTGTCGTTTCCACGGTCGATCTGCTGTAGGCGGTTTTCATCGCAAGGGCATATATCCCCTTAATCGAGCCCGCTCTCGTGCTTTAAGTTGGAAATCACTACGGTGGTATGCGCTGCAACTTCGTCCGGTGACACTCTTCCTGCTGCGCCGGGGGACGGGTGTGTCCTGTCGAGTAGCGCGAGGCCTACGCACTTGCCTAACAAGGCGAGTGGCGGATCGGGCTGTCTCCGTCGATACTTGGCAGCGTGTGTTCTTTCGACGCGGCCTGTGTGTGCGATCGTCTGGTTCATCAAGCGACTCAAAAGGAGGGCGTTGATTCGCGTGATGATCTTGAGCAGAGGGTTCCTGTGTGGGCACCTTACTAGCGCGGACCGTTGTGTACGGGCCTACTAGCCGAGCGTGCGACGAATGGGCGGGTGGGCTGGAGCGGGATGCGGATGAGCGTCGGGCATGTGTCATGAGGGCGGAGGCCAGCGTGGAGGAATGGCAGGCCAGGCGCGGAATGACGTGGTCGGGTGGCAGAGGGGCCAGCCAGGCAGGGGGTGGGATGCACTGCCTTCTAGTGTGAAGGAACTGAGAGTGGTACATGTGGGTGGATGCGGTGCCTCAGTACTACATAACGTTTTAACCCGTAGATCCATTGAATTCCCGGGTGATCGGGCGTAGTGTCCATGCACTATAAAAAATGAAGGGGGTTGAAAGTTTGATGGCGGGTGTGGGGCGCAACTTTGTACGTTTTTGCAGGCAAACAGATGATAGATGAAATTGCGTGGACGCTGCGGGGAGGAGGTGGGGATTGGAAGAGGGAGGCCAAGTTTCGCCCGGGGGGAGCGGTGGGGCCGGGCTCGGGATGCTGGACCTTCTTATGCGAGCGGTGAGGCTGCGAGAAGTTGCGCGGCCAGCCCGCGGAGTGATGAAGAACAACATGCCTCGGGGTTTTAGTGAGGTCAGACGAGCTTCAGTTACTGCGCGGGGGGCACAAGAGCCGAGGGTGCTGTGTAGGCGTGCGACGCAGAAGGCGGCGGTTTACGAAGCCGGCTTGCGAAAGTTTCATCAAAGTATGGGTCCATGGGTGGGAGTAAGGAACTTCCGTGCCTTATCTGTTTTTTTGTGGTTCCTCTCATAAGAGGGGCTTCCTGCTCTTTCTTCAACTGATTGTCTGGAGTTTAGTGCAAAGGAAAATCGGGACTTGATGACCCTGTTTGCCATCACTCTGGGTCTCAGCAACATCGCTGTCAGCCGACTTGCTCATCTCTGGGAAGTGAGTGATCCTTTCCCAATAATACCGAACACATCTTCTTTCTTTTTACTGCATTCTAAAGTATTCCGGAACACAAAAAATGGTAGTAACGTCATATTCAACGTTTTGAAAATCAATTTGAAAATGTTTTCTGCGTTCTGACGAAGAGCTAACACCAATAAATCCCGATTATCTATGCTCCTTCGTAAAATTATCCCTTCCAGCGCCTTCCAGCAAAGCTCCGTCGGCAGTTCGCCGAATTCGAATCGCTGTTGGACCCATCACGGAATCACCGCCCTTACCGTGCTCTTGTCGCCAAGGTATTCGCTTTCTACCACTTTATTATTCACTTCTAAGCGATAATGATAACAAATTGACCGATAATGAGCTAACACAAACTGTGTTCGATACTATTAGTAGCCGAATAACCCGTGGCTGCACTACATACGACTGCAACTTATGTGCCTGCTATCAATGTATGCACTGTAATCTATTGGCAAGTGCTCGGTTGTACTGTGCTCACTACTCTAACTATTAATGCTTTCGCCTTCTCCTGAAGTTAGAGTGGAAGGGTTTAATAGCGGTTTCAGTAGGGAGGGGGGGGGGAAGGGAGTGGGTAGTTTCTACATGAGATTTTGTAGTAACGAGAGTGGTTGCATTGTGATATCAACATGGTGCATACCTGTGGATGCAATGGAGGCCGTGCTTGCTGCGCGAGTGTTAGTGCTTCACGGATTCAACGCGGCGCCGGTAAAGATGTGTGCAGGCTGCCTGTCGGCCTGCCGCTGTGATTGAAAGGCTCCAATCATCAGTCCACGACCGTATTCGCCGTGCGAATCGAAAATGCGTGACGGATTCCAAGTGCGTTCTTATGCGTTCATGATGATGTGAGAACTAGCCCGTGCCTTCTATGAAGGCTTCTGTTAGTAATGACATAGCATTGGGTAATGTCATGGAGGGGGCGTCCTCCGGTTTCTGTCAGTGGTTAGTTCGACTCTCTTCGATCATCACTCTCCTCCGCAAGAATTCGAGCCATACACATGCCTCTTCCTCGGGTAACGGCTGGCTTAATTTTGTACAACGCACTTCATTATTGTGAAAGCACTGGCTTGGACATCAGTACTGCGCGCTTCAACCGGATTAATTCTGACCAGGAAAGTCTTTCAAGCTGCGCCCGCTTCTTTAAAACGGTTTTTTTTGCATGATGGTATAGGGGCCTATGGGACCTAGAAGCACGTACGGTTCATTTTTCCTAACCAGCCCTCTCGATGCCTAACATTAGGTTAAAAAAGCAAGCGTCATACCTTTCGACACCAGTTTTTAGCACAAATCACCATGCGGGTTTTACTTGAGGTTCCATAGTAGTGATTTACCATTACGTCGTCTCATTTTTAGCCGCAGGTGATCCAATCACGATCATCATCGCAAGCGTCAATGCGAAAGATTTAAAATGGTGTCTCCACATTGATTCAAACCGTGAACTTCAATTCTTCATCTTTGGGGTTTAGAGGCCCCTCGAGATAATCAATACAGTCCATGTTTCCCCTGCACCTTGTCCCTATCACTTTCGTCGTTCTCCTAATTATACAGCCACCTAGAAATTGTTCAAAATCTCGAATTCCACAAAGTTTCTGGAAAAATGTCCAACAGGAAAACTGTGTCAAATTTGGTCGCGAATTCGAAAATCAACACAAAATTCCAGGTTGGAAATGCGAAAAAATTTTATTCTAATTTTTCCGGATAGGGTCGCTTTTCCAACGTCTCCAAATGATACAGCCACCCCGTTTTTTTTTCGTTGTATTTCATTTTTGCTTGATGAAATTTGATGGTAGTCATCAATTTCTCTTTTCTAGGTCATCACGAAAGGAAAGCAGTTGTTGGATTCCCAAAAGGGCAAATGGTCGCAGAAAAAAAAAGAAAGAGTAAGCGCCAGTGGTCACATTGCGCGGAAAAGTTAATCAAGCTAAACAAATTGGAATGACAATTCTTACTTTCCATTCGTCTCTCAAAGCGAAAGTGAATATGGCATGTGTTTTGGACAGAGACAACGCTTGACATAAAACCGGACAATTTCCATCGATCAGAGTAGCCAATGCGCAATAGTTGCGGCTTGTGCTGCCTGTTATCCTCAGATACGTACTATATATTGCATAAAAAATTTTGAAAAAGCGGGGCAGGCCCTGAAAGACTTTCCCTGGTGAGTTATACACAATTGGGAGTCGAATGCGTGACTCCTTCAGATTGAACGATGACCAACTAGCATTAAGCCCGATTCGCTAGGCTGATTGACTCATTTCTACTCATTACATGATCCAGTATTTTTGGCACTGGAACAAGTTACAGTGATAGTTACTTTGTTAAGATGTCGTCACCTCTGATACCGTTCGTGCCGCTTCTTCTGAAGGATTCTGACGTTCATTCACGAAGGCAACAAGACTTACTATAATGGACTCGTGAACTTCGAGAAAATGGTGAGTGATGTGGAATGAGGTTTCCTACATGCTGCAATTGGTGATGACTCTTTTTCAGCACATGATTGCCACTATTCTCCGAACATTCCGGCAGTGCAAGTCACGATACGCCTGGTGAGTCACTGGTTTGGATTCTCAGAGAAAGTGCGTATACAAATGGTTTGTTTCCAGTACCACAGATAGAATCGAAGAAGATTTTCGAGACGCAGAATTTCATCCGAAACTTTCGCGTCGTCGATAATCAGCGGAGGTTGATGGAGCTCTCCTACCAGATTGAACCACGTCGACGGAGGAACTAGACCAGCAAGGATTTCCCGATAATCGGAACGTTCTCCGATATATGAACACGGGACGAAGTGACTTGGGTCAAGACGCGTTCATGTAGGACAGAAAACCGAAAGGAGGGCAAGAGACTAAAAATTTCTGATTGTGTCCCTTTTGAGGCCACAAATTGTTCTTTAGAGTTTTTTCTAGCACTTTGGTAGCGTAGCTTATTCGGTGACTGGTGCAAAGCTCTACGCATGACGGCTGATCGTTCACTGCTCTCCTTTCACTTCCAGAAGACCACTGTTGTCATCAGCTATCTTGGTCATCATTCCTCAGAAATCTGTTCTGAATGATATTCTCCTTGTACCTAGGATTTTTCAAATCAGTTAGATGGGTCTACATAATAGGCTTTGTTATTTTATTGAATGCCGATCTATAATATCTATTCGATGCTCACTTCAGCTCACCCTTTTGTCTTCGTTCGAGCGGCCTCCACGGCCTCCTTATTCTTGCTTCCCGTGGCCGTTCTGGATTTCGATTTCTAATCATGCCGGTGCTTTCTGACTCCTATTTCATTATAGTTATACGATAAATTGTTCCTATTGTTTTTCTTGCGAGATTCCTTGAGGGAGCAAGATTATAACTGATTGTGAGCGTGAATGGTCAATGGGAGCACGCGATCGGCGCAGGATCAATCGTATGTTGGACAAGTACCAACGAAGGGGGTCGTATTAGGACCACCGGATGGGGGGGGGCAGGGTTAAAGGAATCT